GTTTCTATTGATGTTCATGAATCAATTTCAGAAGAAATAAAATAAATACAATATTGTTTCGAATAAGGCAACTATTGATTTTCCGAATGTCAGTCTGTAATAATGACATCCGTAGGTTATTATAAGAACACAGATATGTATCATGTTGCACATACAAAGAAATATTGTTGACCATGTCCAACCATTAAATTTTATACATTAAATTCAAACTTTATCTAGGTAAATTTCTAGTATGTTATATAATTGCAATAACTGGTTCATAATAGTATATTTTATGTTTATTTAGGTATATGAAACTTTTTTTTTTTTGTTTTGTTTTTCATAAAATAAAATTTAATTAATTAATGCCGTGTAAATGTTCTAAACAAAGAAATATATATGAAAATTCGATCTTTTGTCAGCTAAAAAATAAAGCAGAAAAAATAGTAAATTGCTTACAATAATAATTTTACAATGCATAATAAAATTAAAAATTAAAGTTCTATCGTATTTTACAGTTTCATTTTCGTACATGTACGTTAAAATTTATTGAACATAGCATACAAAATAAAAACATATATTAAAAAATATAAAAATATATAGAAAATTGTTCCTGAAACTCTGTGTTGCATGGGGTTTGTAGGATAGGTACAAATACTTGAATATCATTGGTTGAAATTTGAATATCATACATATGATATATGTAATTGTTACGATGTAATAAAATGGTCTGTTTATATATCAAATATTTTAATTTCTGTTCGTTTTATATTTTTATAATGAGATGTAAAATTTTTATAAGTTAATTTCTTAGTTAGTTTTTTTTTTTTTTTTAGCTCTTACGTATATGTCTCAAACATTCTTTTGAACTAGATTCTCAAACGAGATTCCCTTTGTGATACGGAGAATAATATTTTTAACTGGACCGAAAAAGCTATTGGATGCTAAAGATTTTAATCTCTCTAAGACGAAATAACCTTTGAACATTCTTATATTTATCTTTCTTTCTAATTTCAGTTACATTTTCTTCTTGCAAAGGACACATTTAGTTCAAAGTACAGTTTTCAAAACAAGGAAAATTTTATAAACTAATTTTAAGATTTATAAATGGAAAATATTCTTAAAATTTATTTATCAAAATTTACAACAGTATTAAAGATGTACATTCAGTAAATATGAAGAAGTCAGGAATAATGACATAAATAGACTTGTGGAGATACTAACCAATGGTAGATGAAAAATTTTATTTTATATTAACAACATCAGAGAACATTTATTATTAAAGTAACCGTTTTAAAATAATGTAAACAGTTTTTTTATATACATATATATTTTTTTATAATACGAAACAAAGAAATATTTTTACGGAAACACTAAAAAGAAACCGTTATTTCAACTGCTTTCAAAGGTATATCTTAACATTTCAAGACTTATATGTCTGAATAACGAAATTTTAAAATATAATACAAATGAAATGAACAAGATTATGATTTTATAATATAGATAAATTGTAAAACTATGTTTTAAGGTATATTATTTGAAGTAAAATTAATATGATGATGTTTAACTTAATTAATTATTGTGTTAAGAATTAGGCAACTTTAAAGCACTTTCTACGGTTTACAAGTGAAATATTTGTATTAAACTTATAAGCGAAAAAAATGAACTTGACGAAAATCTTAAGATTTAAGGCTACTAATGGACTGATTTTATAATTCGAAAAATCGCGACATTTATTCTTAGCGTTATGAGTTTTATGTATACTTCATATTCATTTTTATTTTTTTATCTTTAAATTTTATTAATCTTTGTGTAATATTTTGTTCATATTGCTATTATCTTATGTGTATTATTTATTTTTTCATCTTTGACTAATTTATGTTCTCCTGTCTGTATCTCATGTTTCTGGTTTAGTTCTTAATATTTAACATCAGGTAATTTGGTTTAACCGTTGGCAAATTGAATAAAACTATTATAGACTGGAAATTCTGACAATTAAAAAAAAAGTTAAAAAGTCCATCCCTAAAACTCATTATATGTTTTTAATACAGTTAAAACAAAAAAAATATTGTTTACCAATTATTTCACATAAAGCATCAAAACATGTATTCTTTATTTATATAAATTATAATATTACAAGCCTCAATCTTTATTCTGATTTTGTCTGGAACCATAAAATAAAATATGAAATATTGTATTAATAGTAAATTTCAAACTACATAACCACATAATTCATTATTCAAGAAGAAAGATAATTCTTGGGTCAAATTAAAAAAAAAAAAAAAAAAAAAAGAATATAATTACATATATTTATGTTTCCTAGAACCAAAATGACTTCATTCAACAAACACAAATGAGACAATAAAAATTCGGGAGTCGGGACACGAACAAAAGAGTAAAATAAATTTTGATTTCAGGGTGTCAGGTTGTGAACTCGGACATTACACGCAAAGGCTAAAGTCGATGAATAACCGGTCTAAGAGAGACGAAATTCACACAGACCCATCATTCAAGAAAATCTTAATGACCACTCATTCAAGGAGGAAAAGAAAAGAAAAAAAAAAGAATGACATCCGTAGGTCATTCCCGGTCGGGTAATTAATATTTACTGTGTTGGCAGACCTGCCAGTTGATGCAACGCTTCCGTCCTTTAGGTTCCATGACAAAACGGAAAAGAATGATTTAGGCGAATTCGGTTATATATTATATAAATAAAACATTCATTTATAAATGGCATTGAGAGATTAATGTGAAATAATAGTCACGCAACAGAACTTCTAAAAGTTGGAATAGTTTTCCGTGATGAACATTAGCTTCATAAAATTTATTTTTAAAAAATATAAAAAAAAAAATTCAAATCGTGAAAAAAATTATTTTAATCCAGATTTTTTTTCTTAATTATTATTTATTTTTATAATTACAACTCCAGGATATCTACGTTATTCCATCCCTAACCATGGTTTTACTGACTCCTTCAGAGCCAACTTAAGCTTAAAATTAGCAAGTCATGAGATAAATTAGATGGAACATAGTATTGACCACACTAATTAAGAAAACTTAATTTATGCTTCATAAAATGGACCAAGACGTTTTTTTTAATATTTTAAACGAAGTCATGTAATTCATTTTAAAACAAATTACTATAAGAATTTTAATAAGCCCGTACGTTATAATATTAAATATAAATATTAACTTTTTTAGGCTATTAAAGTTTATAATAATCTTATTTAATATATAACAGTAGAAGTTGATATACAAATTAGTAGGGTTAGTCTAGAAAAATCAAAAATAATGTGTTAAAAGACTTATCTTCCAAAAAAAAAATGTGTATGTACAAAATTTTTAATATCTTAAAAATGACTTGTTTTTTAATGTTTGTAATCAAGATTTTCATTACCAAAAGATTAGATATGGAATAAAATATAAATAACCTTGTTTTAGCAAAATAAATAGATAAATAACGTTTCACATATTTTAAAAATGAATAATACTTCCAGTTCATATGTATGACATTTTTTCGAAAATTTATTGTTACAATTAGGTTAAAATCCAAAAACATACACCGAGAAAAAAAAATACTGATTTATATTAATGCTTATTTATTGATAAAAAAAATCGTTGTTTTGACATAACTTGAATTGAGAACATGTAATTCTAATTTTAACATTTATTTCCTGACAAAACAAAAGTAAATTCTTCTATTTTATTTTGTAAAGATCATACCGAGATTTCCGATTTTATTTTTGAAATAATTTAAAATTATAATTGGTTAGAAAGCCTATCGCGGAATATTTATCGTGTATTTTTTTCTAACATTTTGATTAAAAATACTAAATTTTCCCCAAATCAATGTTATGATTTTGGGTTACTAATACTGAGTACACACTAGTAACTATAACTTAGATGTTAAATGACATTTAATCAAGGTTAATGAGATAGATAATATTTTTTTCTTCCTTAGTAATTGATATGTTATAATTACGCTATCATTGTTTTATCGCATGCGTATCATAAAAATAAATAATAATTTTGATTCTTGGCTAATTTTTTTTATAAGATAAGGAAATCAATTTTCAAGCTAATTAATCATAATAAAAAAAAATTGATTGAAAACAATAATGTAACCTTACATTGTTTATCCCTTACAAAGAGGAGTTCATAAATTGCGCGGTAACAATACTTTTTTTTTAAATTTTATTCACCAACTTGAGAACAATAACCAAGGAATTAATTCTTATATAGAATCAGCATTTTGATATTAAAAAATGGTAAAGAAAAATTAAAATTTAAAATTAATCCATTAATTATTATAAATGTGTTTTATTATGTGCCAAATATCTTAAATTACTCAAATCTTTTTTCGTGTTTTAAAAATTTAAATTTAGTATAATTTTGATTTAATATTGATCTATATTATTAAATGAAAATCGTTTTCATGCTTGAAACAAGCCATTGACAATTTCACAATAATAATTAAAATGTAAAGTTTTTTGTACAACAATGTATATATTCTTATTATAAACATCGTTTTCCATTTGTAATACACCTAAGGCATTTAGATAAGAAGGTAAAATAAATTTGAATTGGAAATTAATATATTCTGATTAAAAGTAAAAAGTTGATTAAGTTAAGTTCTTAGTTTGAAGGATTATGTATTAATGCATAACTTTAGTACGTTTTAAATAAAGCTTGGTAATATTGAAAAAGAGCCCAAACATGGAAGTCCAACATTATTTCAAAGGAGTGTTGAAAAAAAAAAAAAAAATGGAACATTCCAAAGCTGCTCAAATGTTCAAAGTATTAGGCTCTATAATATCTTTAAAAAAAATTATCGAAACACAATAGGAATATTTATCTGTCTAATAAAAAAATCATTCTGAAACCTGAAGTTGTTGGAAGTGCAGGATAGGATTGGAAGGACTTGATGGGACTTCACAGATAAGACCTTTTAGAGTTGTGAATGGTACTCATCGAGTCAAGGTACAGAGTTTCAGGTATTGTATTATGTAATTTATGTCTACCTGTTATGGAATTTATAGCGGCATTCATCTGCAGCTACGATGTCCATAAGAAGGATGTATTTGGCCTTTTTGTCAAGCCCCATAACTCGGACTTTGAAGGCGGGAAACATACGCCTAAAGAACAAAAGAAAGAAAATGTCAGACTAAAATAACTTGTCTGGAGTAAAAAAAAATTAAAGCTACTTGAGTCTTGAGATTCACAACCTTACACGACAATCAGAAATGATGTTGAAATATATTGAAAGTTATAACGACGGGAATCATTTTCCTTCATCATTAGTAGGTATAGAACGGATATACAAACCGTGATGTTAATTTCATGTTATACACCAAAATGAAGGATATAAGATTGTGAATTTCTCAACTGAGTATAAATTACACCATTAATTGTCGAAAGCATTATCTATGTCTAAGGCGAGGAGGGTGGTTTGGCCTGTAGCAGTCATGTCTTGATCTACCTGTTACGGAATTTGTGTCTGAAGTTGTCTGAAGCTACGATGTCCAGCTTGTCCTTTGGGTCCAACCCCGAGATTCGGACTTCATCTGAGGGAACATCTGCCTGAAGACAGACAGCTAGTAAGTAACTGCATAGCTTAACCAACCCCCTCCCCCCATGACTTACTTGATGCCTGTTTTCATTATATAAACGTGCGATACTTGTATAGTACGATCATTCAATAATTATTCGTTAATGAATATTCAAAAGAATGATAATAATAGTAACCATTCGCAACTCAATCGTTACAATACCATGATTTGAAAAAATGATAAGACAATATTTCCTCATGGAATCTATACAAAGATTGAGTATCTTGACCTGAACCTTGGTACAATGTATGTACTGCCGTTTTGTGGTTTAAATGGCGAAATACTACACTATATTAAAAAATATTAAAAAATTTGGCTTAAAAAGTAGTACAATAAGTACTCTGTCTGATGTTTAATATGTAATCATGTAAAAATAAATATTTGAAATTTTATATAAAAACTATTATAACAAGTGAAAACAGACATCAATGTGAATTAAATATATTTCTTAAAATTATAGAATATTCGGTTCTGAAACCACAATAAAATCTAATGAACTATAGTTAATAAATGTATTGACTCTACAATTTAATATATTTATCAAAAAAAAAAAAAAATATTTATAACGCAAAAGTATCTAATGTGGATATTGAATAACATTAATGATTTTTCCATTTTTACCAGAATGTGTGTATAAAATATCCAGTTTGTCATGGAAATGTTAACCATAAAATAAAATTATTCAGTGAAACAAATGAGTAAATTTGATTGCACTCATTTGCCTCTTATAAATCATTAACTCCCATAAATATACTAAAAGTAATAAAACGAGCTGAAAACTATTGTCAATTTCAGAAAGAGTAATTTAAATAATTGAAGAGAAGAATGGTAAAAATAAATAAGTATATTTTATTTTCATTTTTGCCGACGTTTCGGCACAAAGTTTAGCCCGTAATATCCACATTACATACATTTATTGATTGACAAATATCATAACTATAAGGCATTATTTATTAGTTCAAGCTATGATACTTAGAAATTTAAATATATAAACCTAAATACATAATTTTTTTATATATATAAATAAAAATTATAAATTAAAAGTACTAATAGAAATAGAAACATACAAATTGATACATTGTATGGCTGATGTTTAGCCAGGGAATATAATAGGAGCAATATGTAAAAACATAATATATATATATATATATATATATATATATATATATATATTATATATATATATATTACTAAAATTAGGAAATGTAAAAGGAAAAAAAAAACCTGAGGTATGTCATATCCAAGGTGTTTCTCATAATTTCAATGTGCTAATTAGAATTATATATATTTTTAATTATCGGGTCCACTATTGTCAAAAATTGAAGAAAAAAAATACATCAAAAAATATTAAACATAAATATTTTTATTAAAAAATTAAATTAAATTTCAGTTGAATAAAATACTTTTCCATTGTTCACAGCATTTAATCAAATTTTAAATTAAAAATTCGTATGTTTTGTTTTTTAATTTTTACATATTTTCTTGTAATTCCTTTATAGGTATTTAAGTGTGTGATATGGTATTAATAAAACAAATATTAATAATATTTAATTTTTTTTTTCTGAAGAGGTAACCAATCCATAGGTACACAACCAAATGACGTTTCGACATTGAATTATATAATTCGTCCTGTTGCATGCATTAGATAAGTGTCTTGGTGTCTTACGAAAAATAAAAGAAGGTTTAAAAAAAAATACTCATAAATCTGTTATCGAATATTTTCAACTTTTATTGGGTACAAATTGAAGGTCAGGGTATTATCAAACATCAATTAAATAGTTCAAGTTCGATTCATCGCCTGTTTATCGATAGGTTATCGCGTATGTGGTCTACGGCGCCGCGTTACTGATAACTATCCAATCGCCTTGTTTTCTATCCACCTATTGCTAATTCCTCATTATTCAATCTAGAAACAATGTATATCGGTATAATATTTACACTAAAGGAGCTGTAGTCAGCTTCATATTTTCTTTTATTTTTTCCTTCCATTCATCGCTTTTCAGAAGGTTCTTTATTTTGATACATTTTTTTATCATATTAATTTAGTGCCACGTCTGCTCGTAAATGTTTCGATAAATTTATTTATTAAAATTTTTGACACAATAAATTTTTAAAGTTAAAAATTGAGACATTTAATTTTTTTCTCTAAGAAATTGTTGTTGACACGATGAAAACATAGTAAGAATTTTCAATTTCGAAATTATTATTAATCTTATATATTATATTAAATAAATTATAATGAGTCTTACTGATAGCTTAGCGGTCTCACATGATAAATCTTACTTCTATCATTCGAATATTTATAAAATAATAACATTGTTTGAATATTTTTATTTATTATTTTATACGTTTATCAGAAAATTCTTATAATCTATTTATTTCAAATTAAACTATATTTTATCAAGATACATGGTAAATAACAGTATTAATAAAATAAAATTTAAAACAATTAGTTTGAATAATTGTACTAATTTTAAATTAAACAAAATTAGTATGCCTGAGAGAAAGGTACTTTGTGTTTCGTTGTCTGAGAAATGTGTTCAGAAGAAATTGCCCGGTCAGCAGTGTAATGCAACCACTTGATTTAATCACTAACTTAAGATACTCGTTTAAGATAAAGAACTAAATATTGTGATAAAGAGAAAAATTGTATCATTACACGATTGGTGAACTATTTATCTAAATAAAGATAAATAATGAATACACCATTTTGTATATTTGTACGAATAAAACAATAAAAGACTCAAATTGTTTCAATTTTTTTTTAAAGTTGTACTAACACTTTTATGGAACAATTTTTTTTTTCTTTATGCTTTAGAATTAAATCACAATTTATTATTTTTTCTTACATAAATTAAGGGATATATAATTTGAACGATTGTATATAGGTGAACTCGAATTCAGTACCAATATATTTAGATGGTGTTGAAGATTGGCTCCATCACACAGTAGGACAAAACGCCAAAAAAAAAGTTTCTTATTTTTAAACGTTTTTTTTATACAGATGTTCGTTCCACTGTATTATTTTCATTGGTGATCATACTCTATGTACGTTGCAAGACTGAATTGAATAGTGAAGAACGTTTATTAGTAGTAGGAATACCCAGGAAGAAGTAATAATTCATTTTTACTTCCTAACCGAACGAAATTTCGAATCCTAAAATAGAATAATTTAAAAAAAATACTAATTAAAATAACCTACATTTCATTTTTTAAATTTTATATCTTGATCTTGATACCAAGTAGTCGCTAAATAATTAGTATCATCAGAAGGGAACAAATCTTGTCCGTTCGAACTGTTGTAGTAACTAACTCGAAAAGTTAAAAAAAAATAACTTAATTATTTTTAAATTTTCAATGAGGAAACCTAATATTTTAAACTGGAAAATGTTAATAAATCATTCAACGCGTTACTGATCTGTAGTTAGATAGTTAAATTCATTTAGTCCATATTATATATTTTTTCCAGGCAGAAATCTATTTTCATACAAAATTCACTAACTGGACAAGCGACCCATTGGTTAACATTGATACGCTGGATCCATTTGGGTCCCAGAAAGTACGATTAGGACCCAAATTGAGTAATAAAGTATTGGGATCCAATTTATTTATTTTTTTTTTAATTTGGGACCAAACTGGAATTTTTAAACTTGCTACGAATTATTCAACAAAAAATAGCACTTTTTAAAAAAGTTTTTTAACCTAACTCTTTTAAAAGAAAAAAAGGGGGTATATATATATATATATATATATATATATATATATATATATATATATATATATATATATTTTACTGATGAAATCATTCCTCACGTTGTTATTTAGGTTGATACAATTTTTTTTTTAACGAATATTATTTTTAAAAACACAGTATCTAAATAATTATTTATCGAACCGAATATTATTACTTGATTACCATACGACAGAGGCCGAACTCACAATTCTCAAATCAATCCGTTAATGAATCACTGCTCGGATCCGTCGAATTTGCATAGAGGAATCAAGAAGACAATGGACTACAAAGATCGTATGACCGCCATAAAAAAAAAAAAAAAAATACCATTAAAGTAAATCTATCAAAACGGAACGTGAGGATTCGAACTCATCCGAAATTCCATTAATCCTTGCCGATTAGAAAGGAAGTCATAATATTTCGGTAAGATCAAAGGGGTTTCCGACGGCAGTCTCATCCATCAACAGTGAGAAAATAAAAATACACAGACGGATTACTATTTACTTAAATACTTATCAATAATCATATCGATATTTCATTCATGCTTATTGGTTTTAGGTATTCAAATCGATTTTTTTTTTCTCCGCAACCATTTTTTTTTTCAGCTCTTTAGCTATAATTCGGTTATTTAGTCATTGCATATACTATACAAAATATAACCGTGTATCGAATATGAGCCGTTTATTTCCAAAGTGGACCCTAATCATAACTAACAGTTATTCAAGAAACGCGGAAAACTAAAATCACTTATTATTCCAGTAGTGAATAAAAAACATTGGAACATGAATAGAGTATCTTTTGTAAAGATAATAACTTCAAGGCCAGTTTTCGAACAAAAATATGGTTTATTGGGGTTTGTTTTTGAGTGAAAAAATGGTGTATGGTTAGGGGGATTGAATGAAATTATAAAAATTCTATAATTTAGCAAATAAAAAATACTACATCATACCATTATTGTTATACTGCCAACTTATTGTCAGTTTTAAATAATAAATGTATTATGTTAGTTAATAAATAATGGCATTCAAACAATTTAAATCATTTTAAAAGCGAATTAGATGGAAAAGCTTTTAAAATTTAATATCAAATTTAAGTTGATTTTTTTTAATAAGAAATAAATTATAACCTAAAATGTAAACTTATTACTACATCACAGGCTTAAGTTCAAATGGTTAATTTTTTAACGGTTTACTTTTATTTATGTATCTATTTCATTATCATTATTTTTTGTAAATATATTAGAAATATTTATGCAATAAGTCAAATTGTCCGGGAAAACAAAAAAAAAACATTCGACGAGGATTATTTTCGATTTCGAGATATTTGTTATATATAAATGTTTGACTATTAAGCAAAATATTAAAAATGTCAAATGGAATCGAAGTTTTTTTTTAATCTCGAAAAGGTAATTATTTTTTTTAAATTTTTTTTTATTTGATAAAAATTTAAACGGATCAATAATACCAAATGATTTTCTCAACTGAAATATTTTATTTTATTTATTTGTTATATATAGGTCAGATTATGTAGTTTTTTGTTTGCATTTAGTAGGTTCATTGTTCTTCCAGAAGAGATTCAATTGCCCATTTGCCTTTTCAACACTGTTGCGGTATCCTCCTTCTAACGTCTTGTTTTTTCCAGAGGGCCAAGGGCTGCCAGTAGGAGGCTGTGAACTAGATGTCGGTACGAGGGATGATCCGATATCTATAGCGAGGATTGAGAGCTCTGCGGTAGCCCATCTGCTGGATCCTCCCTTTGTCGTCGCGGCCCTATCACCTGCTCTTTTGTTCGCCCAGGATTTTTTCATAACCCCCCTTCCCGCCGCCATTTCAAACGGGGGGCTGTCTTGTTGACCAATCCGAGCTACAAGGACCCCGCCGGATCAAATATCTATACACACGGGGAAGTGGGGGTAAAAAATAAAAGGAAGGAGAGATAGGAGAGGAGGTAAAAAAAAATGTCCAAAAAGGAACGAGTGCGGAAAATAGAAGAATAAAAAAATACAGGATCAGTTGAGGATGATGTGAGGAGGGAAGCTCAGGTATGAAAGGTATTGCTCACTGGACAATATTCAAACCCGTCCTTTTATTATCTATTTATCTTCTTGTGTCGAGGGATCAGTCGACTATGAAAATTCAAACACAAGAGAATCCTGGAACTATAAAAACCTTCGAAAAAAACGAACATGCAAATTTCCAATCACTCGATTCCACCAATGAGAATTGAAAATATTTACATTATTGATCATCAAGTCTTATTTTTGTTTCTACTATCTACATTTCTCTCAGTCTAAAAGTGAGTTAAAAAAAAAAATCAAACATAAAAATACTATTTTACAAAATACAAGCACCCAATGGTCATGAATAATCGACAATTATTATTTTTTTTTTTTAAACGATTGTATTTCAATAAAAATCACCTTATATTAATATTTTTTTAAAATTATTTCATGCTAAAAATTGTATAGTTTTCATTCATTTGAATATAGAAGGTTTATTAAAATACGTATTTATGTACTAACCATGTTATTAAATTATTTCATAATAGCAAATCATCACTATTAAAACTGGTTGCTATAATATGGTTGATAATTATGGAAATAAAAAAAAACATTTTATTATATTTTGAAATGACAACTGTACTTTACATTGTACAGATAAACACGTAAATTTTATCACGAATTTTACGGAACATTGGAAGGAGAAAATATGAATTAAAAAAACATTAGCTGTACTGAGCCACATTTTCTGTAATCATTGAGAGATTTGAGTTTCATCCTGAATGAAATTTTTTTTCAAAATTATAAAATTTAAGTTCACCACAAACAGAAATTACTGGATCTTTATGAAACTAAGAGATCGGATAAGGATAACGCTTGAAGCATGAAGGGTCAGGTATCCAGTTTATTTACACTGAGTGCACTACAGAAGGTTCCCGTGACACTATAGGAGGTCCAATCATTGCTCTTATATGTCAACGATTATTGCATAAACATTATAACTGTTAGCTATTACTTTTTATTATTTTTGCATTTATTAACTTAATCTACTTATTTTTGTTTAGCAATAATTATGTAACCCACATAGACTGATTTGTTTGAAGTTAATTCATTTTTATGGGGGATAAATATTCAGGACGCAGTCATTATAAAGTACTACATACTACACTCCTTCTTACAGTATAAAAATGTTCCTCTATTTTCTACAGAGAAAAACATTTTTTTTTAATAACTTATCATAACTTAATAACTTTAATAATATTATCATTAGTGCTGCCCAAATGGGACACCGAGACGAGTCTTGGTCTTGCAAACTCAGTCTTGGTCATGGTCTTGGTCTTGCTCAAGAGTCTTGCAACAGTCTTGCAGTTATATATTAGCTTATCACAATGGAGATATTACTGTAATTTTATAGATAGGAGAAACCTAACTAAGCTCGAATGAAAAATTAGAGAAGTTAAATGCAAAAGTCTATTGGTTATACCAATTATTAACATATAGCACTAACGGATCCAGGATTTAATTTTGGGGGAGGCTTCAGCCCGAAAGCTTTTTTTTTTCATAAAAATAACGATAATTACTTTGGAAAAAAAGAAATAAACTAACTACCTATATGAAATGGTGTTTAAGTGATTCCTAAAGCCCTTTTAAATGTAATTATACGAACAATAGCACTTTAAGAGATAATTTTTTTCGATAAAACATGGTTATATTTTCCGATTTTGGGGGGGGGGCTTCAGTCCGAAAGCCCCCCCCCCTCCCCGTAGATCCGCCTGTGACATATAGTAACTAAGATTCTCAAGTATTAGTAAGTATTTTGCCTTAATTTTTATTTAAAAAACTGATTTTTTTTACCAGTCCTGGTCATGGTCTTGCAACAGTTAGGCGGCATTGGTCTTGGTCTTGCACTTTGACAGTAGACCAAGACCGATTTTGGGCAACATTACATACAATGTAGATCTTAATAATTTATGATTAAAATTTATGATTAAATTTTATATATTAATACACAGTTGAGTTAAAAAATTATATATGATAAATGATTTTTTTTTTTATTTTACAGATGGTTAAGGGTGGTTAAATCGAATATTATAAAATTGAAAAAAATATTTAATTATTGTTTTAGGTGAGAATATGATCATGAAACAACGGTAAAGAATCACGTGCCAGAAACATCAAGATTATACTAAAGTAACGAAAATAAAAAGAAAAGGAAGATGGGTCTAGAAAAATAAACGACACGAGACGAAGAAAAAAAAAAACAACGATGAGGTAACAATTCGTGTTTTGTTTACTTTTACTTAACACCAAATATCAGAAGGCCACAATCAACGTTTCCAAACTATTATTAGAAGATAATGAATGAAACATGAAAAAAAGGAAGAGGTCCGAAGATTGACGCACTGCTTATGGAAAGATTGGATTAAGAAGTATCCCAGTCTTGGGTTTAAGCTCTATTATTTTCTCAGGGTATTTAGCGTTGGGATCACGAAGGTTGATGAAGATATGAAGGGTCCATCAGGTGAAATAGCGGCGCCAGTCCCCGGCCCCGAGCATCGCCCGTCTAATTATGAATAATCGCCTGGTTTGGCTTCATTGACGAGCTCCATTTCTCTCCCCACGAGCTCGCCTTGTAAACTGTCCTCGTCTCGTGGAAATTTTAATTGGCCGTGTAAAGTAGCACTGTTTATTAACTCTCTCCTAAACAAGATGGCTTTTCATTTTTCAACTTTTATTTCATTTTATTTTTATCTGCCGATATTGAGATGAATAAAAATCATTTATTCAATTTTATACTCGATATGAAATAAAATTTAAATATATAGTGGGTCACAGTTAAAAATGATACACTTTGAAATTGATAGAAATTACTGAATAAATCCGTAAGCTTGTAAAAATGTCTGGGTTATATAATTACGTTGGCCACCAGCAGTTAATTGTTAGAAGTCATTTTATTTTTATTTATTAATTTTTTTATATCACATTATTTTATTGTATATATCTGTGTTTATGGTTAGTATGTTTTGTAGATATTTATATTTTCCTTGGTACTTTTATTTTATTTTTTATATATATTTGAATTTTTCTTAGTATCTTTGTGTATATATATATATATATATATATATATATATATATATATATACTTACAATTACCTAGGTATTTTTTGTATATATGTGTATAATACTTACATGCCAGAATGATGTACATATTTTTTAAACATTACTATTATTCTAAGGGGACTTCAGTCCCAGAATCAAATTATTTTTCATTTCATTTCAAATAAATAGTTGAATTTATATTACATTAATAACAATAATTTATTGTATCAATAAACATACTAGTGTTATTTTCTTATTTTTTTTTTTTTTATCTTATGTTTGATGTCCTATTCTTTTGTTATGCTCTTGTATAATAACATGACATTTTGCTACGCGAATCCTGGATTACATGTTGGATC